GCTTTCAAACTTTTGGCCCTGATATTGCTTGGGGGGGCGGGGCTTACCAAAGAGTAGTTTGGCATCCTGAGTGACAGGCAATTGCTGAACTGAATCAAAATAATATTCAACCTGAAAAATTATTTCAAATATATATTTTTTTTTTTAATACAACATTGTATTTTTCAAAGTTCAGGATGAAAACTTGGACTTTCAAATACATTTTATTTTTTTGAATGATCAAAACTTATGACCCTGAAATAGCTCCATAAAAGTGCAGGATGTTTGACTAAATAGCCCTAAGTGGTTACAGGGTTAAAGGATTAGAATCGCTTTTTGACAACTGGTTTTGAAGATATTGATCAATTCCTTTTTTATTGAAATGCATAAATAACCATTCATTTCCTGTAATTTGATTGGTATCTTTTAACTTAGTTGAAAACAGTAGTTGTTTTATTCCAACATGGCATTAGGTTGCAGAGCAAAGTGTTGAGTGTAAATACACAGCCGTGTTCTCCTTGACATTTACCACGGTAGAATATCTGACTTTGAAGGACTCATTCCTGCAAATGAACATGACTTTAAAACAAAAACAATTATCAGATTAAAAACGTAATCACAAAGCTGAACTTTAAAAGAATAAATCACTCGCTTGCTTAATTGTGTTCAACTTGGTTAAAGCCAGTTTATTTGGACAACGCCAGAGATTCAAATGAATAATTAGGGAAAACTAATGTTTATTATACAATGACAATAAATTAATGTGAATGACATGAGAACAACACACAGTACATGTTTTGGTCAGCACTGACAGAAGCAGCTTTTCTTATTTATTACAGTGTAATAAAGCCATATCGGCTCCTCTTACACATTCTGTTTTCATTGTTCAGCTTAACATTTTACTCCAGAGTAAAACAAACAAAGAGCTTAGTTCTCTGTGTGTCCTCGGCATTTAAGTAAAGGTTAATGAATGAAAGTGCTTAGCAAAGTATAATGTGCCATGGTGTGGACACATTTGCACAAACTGACCTCAGGCTGAGTTCCCATTGACATATCATTATTTGTTCCATTAATAAGCCAGTTAGAAAGCAACACAAATATTATTGCTGATGACCTAAAACGAGTGTAACAGCCAGTGTGAAAGACAGCAAACTGTCAGACTGGTTAGCTAAGTGTACATTCACCCATATTATATTTTGTGTCATGATGAATTTAGCAAAAATGTAATTAAATCACAGCAGTTTACTCAAATTCTTGAAGGAAAGCAAATTCTTTTTTTCTGTCTGTGTAGTAAAAAGTGATTAAAACTTGTGAGGATGATCAATCTTGGTAACATCCGGTTTAAATGGCGAAAGTGGCACAGCTTCATTGAGATAAAATGTATATATTCAGTAGTTTTAATGTTCAGGTTATTTTGGCTGTTGAAGCAGTCGGGCGCCACTCTGCCATTAAGATCCCTTCTTCTTGTCCATGCTGCAATGAAAAAGAAACAGTCAGTGTGCTTACATTTCTCTTTTATCTCTTCACCTTAATGTCAAAGATTACTAAAGGATTTTGGACATATGTTTTTTTATCATTATCATATCATATCATAACAGAGAAAAATCTGAAAAAAGCGTTTCATGATACATGATCTGTTCCCAATGACAACAGGAAATCCCACCATAAATGATTGCTTACTTGTATTTAATGAGACGACTTCCCTGGATAAGCTGTGCAGACTCGTTGGTCAAATGGCAGGCGAACAGCAGCCAGTTACGTGGCTGCACCTTGTAGGCGAACCTCATGAAGAGCAGGGAATAGCAGGACAGAGCTGAGAGGAAGGAAAAAACACACAGGCAATGGATTATTTAAGTGTTTTCTTCTCTTAAATCACTGAGTGATTGGCACTGATTTGTTATAATCTATATACTTTTTGTATTTCTTTAACATACTTTATTACCATATCAAGTCTAAAATGTTCCTGCATCACAGCAGGTTCAATGCCACATCAATAAGGACAAGTATTTATTCTATTCCTATTTGTTTTAATATACTCCAATAAAGACCTGATGTTTTGTACAACACATTGACCAAGTGTTCAGTTCTTTTGAGGCCTTCTTGAATTCAGAATGTGAGGTATAAAAGAAGCAGTCAAATAAAATATCTTCTGTTACCTAAAGAGAGAAATTAGAGCTGTAGTTTACAATCGTTTAATTCTAAGAAACTTTGATAAAATGTTAAGCTGACACACCAAACCCTACCAAAGTTATCCATACACGGTTGTGTGCTCTTTATGTCTACATCTGGCTTTATCTTACCAAAGGTCATCCTGCCACTGATTATCTCAGGGCTCTTCTTCATATCTGTGATGGCGGCTATAGGAAGACCCCAGTTTGCTATTGGACCCCAGAAATGCTGTACAGATAAACACAAAGGGAGAAATATAGTTTTAAGCATATGTAGGTAGGAGACAAACAGAAAGCTTAAGCTAGACATAACCGAAGGGAATCACAGATAAGGTGAGACGCAGATAGAAATATACTGACAGCAATAAGACAAACAACAAGGATGAGTACTTACTGTGCTTTTGGACACGTTGTTTTTTTTCAGGGCCACATAGAAGAGAGAAGAACATAAATAAGATATGAGATAGGGGCCAAACAAGAGCTGCTGCCATGCAAAACAGAACATAGGTCAGTTTCAGGATAGATACATTCACAAAATATGACAAGCAAACTGCTACAATTTAAAAGCACGGCTTTGCAGGAAGTAAAAAATACTTATTTGTTCCAAAATGAATTAATAATGAGTGTGGTAACATTTAAGTATCTGGATGAAAACATTACAAATGCTTACAGTCCACTGTCTTCTACAGTATTCATAACACAAGCTAATCTGTGTTTTCTACACAACACGCCACCACAGAAAGCCTCCCCTACAACTACAGTGCATTTATATAACCTTCTAAATGTTTTACTAACTGTTAAAGACAAATCTCTTCAAAAAATAACCCCCGGGGGATAACCATCTTTATCTGTTACAAATGTCAACAAAGATGGCTACTTGCATCACTGTTACAATTTAGCCTTTACTCTACATTTAGCGCCAGGGCGACATGTACACATTATATAGTAGTGTTCTCTGCTTAGATGGGTTACGGTTATAGCAGGTTAGGGTTAAAAAGGATTAATCCCTTGGTAAAGCTCCCTGTAAGTATTAACAGCACAAAAAAGCCCCATATTAACTGGCTACAGCATTTAAAACGCTCACAATAACGCAGCATAACTATTCAATAATATAGTATATTAATTGGAATACTGACCAACTTTTGGTAGTGTAAGTACATTTTGATGCGTATTATACATTTTGAACTCCAGAGTATTCATACACTGCGGTATTGCTACTTTTACTAAGATATCTGAGTTCTTACTCCACCAATGTTGATGAAATACCGTAATTAGTTAGATACGCTTTAAAAAACAAGTTTATCCACAATCTTCTCTCAATGTATTGGCAACCTCACAAACTGGAGACACAATTTAATGAGAAAGTCGTATTAACGTTGAATAAAGAGGCAAGCAAATGTCCTTGAAAACTAGCAGACAACTGAGACAAACGATACCATTATAACACAATTAAATAAACACATTGTTGACAATTATCACTAGATTTTATGAAAACATATGGACAGAACACGGCAGTAAATCAACCCCTTGTTATACCCCTCGTATGTCACACGACAGCCACCGGAGCTAACGCTACTTTAGCATGAGAGCCAATAGAAAATATAACAGCTTAATTTACATACCTCATCAAATATTCCCTGAACTCCTTGCTCTTCAGGTGGTCGATAGCTTTCCGTGCAATAACCCCAGCCATGGTTTAACGTTGGTGTGGTGTGTTTAAACCGAGATGAGCACTGTTTCTCTGCTGAAGGGCGACTGAAAGCTCAACTCAGAGGACGACTAGTGCAATTTCCGACCACAACATTGGCGCTTTACGACACTGTGGCAATGACGCAGCGCTACCTCAGTCCACCATCATGGATGTATAATAAGAACCATAGACAGTTCACTTTTTTTTCAAGAAAATAAATATAGAAACATCAATGGAAGCTTCCATACATAACTTTAAAAATGCATGAGAATTACTGTTTCATTGAAACCAAAAACATAAAAAATAAATAAACATACAATATTTTTGGAAGCCTTAAAAGAGTGCAGACTACACAAAATACCTAAATATTTGAGAATATTTGCACACAAAAAACGTGTTTGCATTTTTCATCAATTTCCTCTTTGACTTTCTCTCTTCAGTAAGATTATTATTATTATTTTTGCAAAATAGGGGACAGATCCTTTTCCTTCTGCTTCTGGTTCAGGGTCATCTCTTTAATTTTTTTCTATGAAATGCAAAAAAACAAACATCCATTTCACTTATGACCAAGATGCCTTCATTCTTAGTAAGGAGCCAGTTCTCACCACTCCCTGTACAGGCGTACCCTCCAATCAACACAGGGGAATTATGACATTTAGCTGTAACAAAATCAGTCAAATGGAAATTACAGTAAGTTCCAAAGAATGAAGGACTGCTATAAATAACCTCCACCACAGACCACAAGGTACACCATCAAGATTACTTTAATTAATGTCTACAGAGAGATTAAAATCTGCTTATTTATTTCAGTAATTTATTCATACTGTTAAATATACAAAAAACTGAATATAAAAAGCAGCCCATACACTCAAACCACTTATATTATTCTTTAAATGTCAGTGACTTGACATCAATGTCCACCATTTGGCCGCACTTCTGCGTAGTTCTTGATCAACTGGGAAATCCTGACAACTCGAATGTCTTCTGGTATCCCATCGTAATCTGACCACAGGTACTCTGGAGACAGCACCTTGGTTGGTTTGTTGTACAGCAGGTACCTGCATGATAGAAAAACAGGCAACAGTAAATATGTCTATGTTGTATAATACATTAATCACAAATCTGTATTGATTTGTTCCACAAACACAAGCTTGTTTTAAACAAGAAATACTGGCTGTTAGAATAGATAGAAGTTGACAATATAAGCATGTTGGAAATGTGTCCTTTAAAATAAGAATGAACAGAAATGCACTTCAACTGAGGCAATCAATTGTGAAACTTACTTGTTGAGGTGACTTTCTTCCTGCCAGATAGCTTCAATCTTATTCTTGGCATCCTCCTCCGACTGCTTGTAACAGTATCTAATAAAACGAAAGAGATAGAAGTCATATACACTTTGCTAAAGTTAAAATTAATGTTGCATTATATTAGATTTTAATGGTCAAAATGTCAAGGAGACAGAGTTAATTGTTTCAGAAAAATATATTTTGTGTCTCCAATGCATGGTATGGCTCTTCTCAACGTGGTTTTCATTGAGAAAAGTTGTAGTTAGTCCAAGTAAGCTGAGCCAATACTGTAATGTGACATTAAAACAATGCAGACCATTCATTGGTCAGAGAAAAGTCACTAACATGTCGTCGGACTTACTGCACAACCTAGCGTTTTTAAATAGCTAGCACAACTGCACCACGCCTTTTTTACGAAATGTAAATTCTCCTCTGTTTGGTTACTGATGAACGCATTGTTTTTTTTTTACCATGGTGCACTTATCTGTTTTAGCTTATTTGTTTATATTTTTTAATAGCGAGTTAATTCCTTTTTATGTAATTTTAAGTCTTCTCTTTTACCTTTTGCATTTGATCTGAACTGTAACTTTGCTGCTGCAACACCCTCAATTCCCCCCACTTACCCACTAAAGAAATTCTGATTCTGATAAATCAAGTCGAGCTGAGCATTTTGTGCACAAGGGGGTGGAAACACTGCCTTTTTTAGAATAAATATAACCAGTTTTGAAAGGCTAAGATTTGTACCTGTCCACTGTGTCCAGGGTCTTATACTTTAAACTTATTTAGTAATAGCTAAATGGAAACATCTTAATCGCATGTTAATGGTTCTGGTTACCTGACTAGCTTGTACATGTCCTCCAGGTACCCCCCCCACACAGCCGCAGTGTAGTAGTAGTCTCCTTCATCAGCAGGAATGAAGGCCCTGGACTCTGGCCGGCGCTCATAAGGAAACCCGTCCCTCAATGTGTTCTGATAACATAAAATATGGACAAAACATGAGACAGGGAGGAGAGGCTATAGCTAATACTTGATGATGACTTGGTGAACAACAAATGTGGCGATGTTCTCTGTTTCATAACAGTATAACAAGTAGGGGAGAGTGGGGTAATTTGTGCCAAGGGGCAAGTAGTGCCACCCCTGTTATCTAGAAAACCATAGAAGAAGTTGGTCATGCGACCACATATTTTTGAAGAGGCATCCATTTCAATCATCCTGCAAAGAAGAGAGACACATGGCTTGAGAGGTAAGCACATTTAAGTTAAAAAAACATTTTTTTGCCCTCCAAAGTAAAATTTCTATGATCAAGGTTTTTTGATTGCTGTGTTTGAACAATTTAGAGAACTTTGAAAACAGTTCACACATGTTTTAGTGCTTTAGTAAGCTACACCATGAGTCTATACAGTTAGCATGATGCTAGCTCAAAACAGCTGGGGGATGCATTTTTTTCAAAATGGTGGGCTT